ACATTTTAGAATACTTCTAGTGCGAAGATCTCTTTGAAACTTTCAGCATTTCTCAAAAAATCATTTTGACAGACTTCTGTGCAAAGCGTACGGATCGGATTAACGAGTAAATTTCATCTTTAGAAAGTGGTTTCACAGAGTTCCCCACGTCGTATGGATACGATAGTAAAACACGACGTGCGGATAGGGTTAAACTGTTGGACTTGTTTGATCTTTTCGCCTTTGCTAATGAGATTGCAAATAGGATTTGCTGCTTTTTAAAATATATATTACCTTGCATTCTGCTTTCTTTAGATTCAGCAACAGTCCTTTTCGTTCTCTTTCTGTTACAACAGTGTCTAGAAGTGATTGAATGTCCTTTTCTGAGTCTGCTATTAAAACTGTGTCATCAGCACATGTATTTTCGCCATTCACTTAGAGACCCTGGGCATTTTTCTATGTTTCTAAGGATTGTTTCACTGTATATTAGAGAGGTCTGGTGATATAACACATTCATCTTCTGATTCGCTTATATTCTCTGTATTCTCCATTAATTAGTACAGCAGCGTCCCAGTACAAATTCCTAATAATTATTAGATCTTTTCCATCTACGTCTAGCATTTCCAGTATTATAAATAGCTCATCATGTCTAACCTTATCAAACACTTTTGAATAATCTATTATGCATAAACACAGATCTTCCTCTGCGTCAATACATCTTTCCAATCACATTGTTAAGGTGAAAATAGCATTTCTGGTGCCCTTGTCGGGAACAAAGCCGAATTGTGTTTTAGATATCTCTGGTCTTAGACTTTTTCTCAACCTTCCCATTAGTACTTGCATCAATATTTTTTTGTAAAATGACTCCAAGGGCTTATTGTTCTTTGCATATCACACTCAGTGGCACCTTGTAAAGCTATAAAAACTGACGTAATCATATCTTCTGGGATCTTAACACTGTCAAAACAGAATTTAAGAGCTTGGTTGTTATTTCCGTGCCTAGTTCTTCAAGTGCAACCATCACTTTAACTGGAATAATAATAATAATAATGATAATAATAATAATAATAATTATTATTATTATTATTA